CCCAGAGGAGCCGTGAAAGGAGCCAGTCCTCCGCCCCAGCTCCGCCTGACTCCCGCAGCCCGACTCCCTGCAGCCCGCCATGGGAGCCCGGGCCGCGGCCGCAGGGGCTCCGTGGGTCCGCGCCCCCCTCCGGACCGGACCCCGGACCGGACCCCGGACCGGACCCCGGTTCCGACGGGACCTGAACCTCCAGGCGGCCAGGCTGAGGGGCATCGATGACCTGCCGGGGCCCAGCTGGCCCACCACCCTGTTCTGGCTGTTCGGACGGGGCTACGCGGAGAAAGGACACCTGCTGCAGGTAAAGGGGGAACGGGGGGGTTAGTGCATCTGGTTAGTTTAATGATGTATTCAACTGTATTAGCTTTAGTTTGTAAGCTCTTTTCATTAAAAGTCCTAAGACTTTTTTTTTTTTTTTTTTTGGTGGCTCAAAAAAGCTGCAGAAAAGAAATGTTAGAACGAAACTTTGTGAAGGCATGCAAAACTAACTCCATATTTATAACATTCACCTTATATCATGATTACATTGTATATACTTCATATTTTCTATTCACTTTCCAATTTTGCAGTTTTTGGTAAATTTAATGATATATCCAACAGTATTAGCTCTAGTTTGTAAGCTCTATTCATAAAAAGTCCTGAGAGTTTGTTTTGGTTTTTTTGGTGGCTCAAAAAAGCTGCAGAAATATTTCAGAAGTCTCACTTTGCTTTTAGGAACAGATGTTTGTCCTGCCTTTGTGAAGGCATACAAAACTAACACCATATTTATTTATTACATTCACCTTTTACATGATTATATTGTATATACTTCATATTTTCTATTCACTTTCCGATTTTGCAGTATTTGGTTAATTTAATTATTTATCCAACAGTATTAGCTTTAGTTTGTAAGCTCTATTCATAAGAAGTCCTGAGAGTTTGTTTTGGGTTTTTTTGGTGGCTCAAAAAAGCTGCAGAAATATTTCAGAAGTCTCACTTTGCCTTTAGGAACAAATGTTTGTCCTGCCTGTGTGAGGGCATACACAACTAACACCATATTTATTTATTACATTCACAGTTCACCTTATATCATGTTTATATTGTGTAATTCACTATTTTTCTATTCACTTTCCTATTTTGTAGTTTTTGGTGGCTCTAATCTGGTTATACTTCCTATAATAACCATAAAGGCGTTCTGATTCTGAGAACATGGGTGCAGAATTCTAACAAGTAATAAAAAAGTCAAATAAAAGTGCTGGAATAGTAATGGACCTCGTTTGCTTCTGTATGAGACGCTCCTGGGTTTGTGCTGCACTTACTATTATGTTAAGATAAGATAAGATAAGCTTTATTGATCTCACAGTGGAGAAATTCACTGGTAACACATCGGTTTAGTGATTAATGACGGTGCAAACAAGGAGGAAAAGGTGCGTAAAGTATAAACAATAAAGATAAATAAAGATACAAGGGAGTAACACAGAGATTTGAGTGACATATGTACAATCAGGATGGCTTATATACATTATACATATTGCACAGGTTATTGCACAGGTCAATAAATAGTATATCATTGCACAGTAGTTTCTGTCCTAGTGTTTAAGGCCAGGGCTCCACAGGCTCCCTGAAAACGTCATTATTGTCTTAAACATCCTTTAAACCCGTGGACAGCAGCGTCTGGTTGCTCAGAGCTCTCAGAGATGTGATCTCTGTTTTCCAGATCCTGCAGAAGAGCCTGTACGGGCCCATCTGGCGCTCCAGGTTCGGGCCCTTCGACATCGTCAACGTGGCGTCCCCAGAGCTCATCGCCCAGGTGATCCAGCAGGAGGGCCGCTTCCCGGTGCGGGTGGAGCTGCCCCACTGGAAGGAGTACCGGGACCTGCGGGGACAGGCCTACGGCCTCCACGTGGAGTGAGTCTGTCCTTCTGGAGCCTCAGGGCTCCTGAGCAGCATCAGGGACCCGGAGGGGAAACGGGGGCCTTCACTGGGGGCCTCCCAGAGGATTCTGGAGGCTTTAACAAACTCTGTCCAGTAACGAACGGGAACAGAGGACCCAGAATTCAGCCAGAAAAGATCAGATAGCTAAAGCACTCAGTTTGAGGCGTAACAGGGGCAGAAATGGGTCGGAAAGGTGGCCGAAACGGGAGCAAAACAAGGGCAGAAATAGGTCAGAAATGGGGCTGAAACAGGGGCATAAAATGGGTCAGAAACAGGGCCAAAAAGGGGCAGAAATGAGTCAGAAACAGGGACAAAAAGGGGCAGAAATGAGTCAGAAACAGGGACAAAAAAGGGCAGAAATGAGTCAGAAACAGGGACAAAAAAGGGCAGAAATGGGTCAGAAACGGGGCCAAAAAAGGGCAAAAATGGGTCCGAAATGTGGCCGAAACAGGGGCAAAACAAGGGCACAAATGGGTCAGAAATAGGTAAGAAACGGGGCAGAAATGGGGCTGGAACGGGGGCAGAAGTGGGGCAGAAATGGGTCTGAAACGGGGCAGACACAGGGTCAGAAATGACTCAGAAACAGGGCCAGAAATGGGTCACAAACGGGGGAAGAAACGGAGGCAGAAACTGAGGCATAAACGGGAGCAGAAATGGGTCTGAAACGGGGCATAAATGGGGCTGAAACAGGGCAGAAACGGAGGCAGAAACGGGAGCAGAAATGAGTCAGAAACGAGTCAGAAACGGGGCCGAAATGAGGCTGAAACAGGGCAGAATCGGAGGCAGAAACGGGGCCGAAATGGGGCTGAAACAGGGCAGAAATGGGTCAGAAATGGGGCCGAAACAGGGGCAAAACAAGGGCAGAAATAGGGCAGAAACGGGGCAGAAATGGGTCAGAAACAGTGGCAAAACAAGGGCAGAAATAGGGCAGAAACGGGGCAGAAATGGGTCAGAAACAGGGTCAAAAAGGGGCAGAAAAGGGTCATAAACAGGGCCGAAAAGGGGCAGAAATGGGTCATAAATAGGGCCGAAAAGGGGCAGAAATTAGTCAGAAATAGGGCCAAAAAGGGGCAGAAATGGGGTCAGAAACGTGGCCGAAACAAGGGCAAAACAAGGTCTGAACAGGGCAGACACGGGGTCAGAAACGGGGCCAGAAATGGGTCTCGTCTCTCTCAGGTCGGGCCCTGAGTGGCAGCGCCTCCGCAGCGTGCTGAACCCGCGGATGCTGAGGCTGCGGGAGGCGGCGGCCTTCGGCCCGGAGCTGCAGAAGGTGGTAGGAGACCTGCTGCGGCGCGTAGAGATCCTGCGCCTGCAGAGCCCCGACGGAGCCACCGTCCCAGACCTGGCCGCAGAACTCTACAAGTTCGGCTTCGAAGGTGGGTCAGGACAGAGGTGTTCAGCAACAAGTAGAGCCACTTAAGTACCAAAATACAGTATCTGGACTTTATTGGAGGATATATTTTTTCCCTACTTTTACTTTTACTCCACTACATATTTCTTTGTAATTTAATACTTTTACTCCACTACATATTTTGGATTAACCAACTGTGGCATGACTTTTTATTCGTTGGGGAAAAAATCTCACCCCCTTTTCGGGAGCTCATATAGTCGTCCTAAAACCTGAGAAGTGGAATGAAAACTAGTTCATTTAGACAAAGATAAACAAGTTGCACACACTGCATGTTTAACCAGGAAGTTCTTTAACGTTCAAGAAACATCTGGACAAACATCTAAAATGTACATTTCTTATGTCTCTTCTTCTTTCTCCACATAAATATAAAAGTCTGGATATGTGCTTTGTTGCCTAAAGGCTACACCAAACCATAGAGAGTTAATTATATACTTTTACTCCGATCGATTTTTCACTGGCTGAATGGTTACTGGTTACTGATATGTAAACGTAATGAATCATCCCCAGTCTTAGAGTCAGAGCCAGAGCTGTAGAGATACTGTAGCTCTGTCAGGGTTTGGGAAGCTGGCTCCTCATTGGCCGCTTTGAGCCATCAAGCATGGCCTATAAAAAAATGCCTGCCAAAAGATTACGAAATCATGGCCTTCAAAAATTCCCCATCTAATCTGAAGAAGCATATCAAGGTAAGTTATAACATACAATGACATATAAGCTAGTAAATAAGCGCTAGTTCAGTTCTCCCTGTTCACTCAGCTAACATTAGCTAAAGCTAACCTAGCTGGCTAGTTGTATGCTACATGCTAGCATAAAGGCTCAGCTCAGGATTCTGACTCTGGAATAATAAATAATAGTATATGAATAGCTGGTTATTGCTAATGCAGATGTAGTTTTCTGTTTTTTGTAAACACCTGTATGGCCTTTCACAAATTAAAAATAATATAAACAATATCCATCAAACTTTTGATGATTTTAATATACACAGTACTTGTACTTTTACTTATACTTGTACTTTCGATAGTTGAGTAGCAATTTTTGAAATACTTCTACTTGCAACACTTTAGTAAAAAGAAATAGACTACTTCCATACTTCCACTTAAGTTTACTTTTACTCAAGTCTATATTTTTCTATACTACTTGTTCTTCTACTCCAGTACTTAATCCATCTCTGGTCAGGACTCCCCCCCAGACCCGTACCCGGTCCCGTTTCCCCCTCTGACTCCTCTGCCCCCCCCCCCCGGCACCTCCTCCATCCTGTTCGAGACCCGTCTGGGCTGCCTGCAGGAGCAGATCCCTCCGGACACGCGGCGCTTCATCGGGGCTGTGGGCGACATGCTGCGGCTGTCCGATATGGTGCTCATCCTGCCCCGCTGGACCCGCCGCCTGCTGCCCTACTGGGGCCGATTCGTCCAGGCCTGGGACGACCTCTATGAAGTAGGTGGGTGGTGGCCGGAGGCCTTTACTTTACTTTACTTTACTTTACTTTACTTTACTTTACTTTACT